CGGAATCTCAAAGTCCTAATTTGCCCTTCAATTAGCCGGGAATTCGGTCAATAAGTAGGCACATTAATAAGTCTACCAGTTACTTCTCTACCCCTTTAACACGTCTACCATAACTAACTATACCACTAGACAGCTCTACCAATTGCAAGTATACCAGTTACTTCTCTACCAACATTTAAGTCAACCAATCAGAAAATCTACCCGTTAACAACCTTACCGCGAAACAACTCTACCAGTTTGAAACTCTACCACGTGTCAAACTATACCACAACAATCTCTACCGTTAATATCTCTACCAAAATCAATATCAACCATATAAAAGCCTACCATTTTACATCTCTACCAGTTTAATATCTACCAGAAACAACTCAACCACATAACAACTATATCAAAATGAATTTATACCAAAAAATAACTCTACCGTAATACAGCTCTAACATTTTTTAAGTCTATTAAATTAAAACTCTACCATTTCAAACACTACCAATTTTTTGCAGTAAACGGTGAAGAAAATATTGCTTAACGTTCGTTGGTACAGTAGTGAATCACCAATCTTTAAAAATGATCTAGATATAATTTGAATTATGGCGGCAACTGATAAATCTAATACAATTGAAATTTTCACTATTAATAAAAATCGGCTTGTTTACTTAATAAATAATAACAACGAGCAGCTTGCAGTCACTATGCGATTTTATTTGCACATAATTCAAATACTTTTTTTTTTAAACAGGTAGACGGCTGTATACATACTCACTATTGTTTTTCATTTCTTAGAGTAGAAAACAGCAACTTGTTTGAATTTAAAAATTTTTACCAATTAACATTTCTACAGAAAAATTATTATAGAACATGGACAAATGCATAATGTGATTTTTCTTTCTGACTCTATAAAGATTCTATATGTATTTTTGACGATATGTTCTTTAAGGAATTTTCTACAGGATTTGATATTTCTATCACTTAAAAATAATCTGAAAAACTTAGAGGACGCGTTTGTGAAAATACTCATCTTTTTTTTTAAAGAAATATTTTAAATTACAAATTTTTAAATATAAATATTTTGTTTGAAAAGTTCAAAATTAAATTATTATTTTAATTAAAAAAAAAATCTTCTACAAGTAATTATTGCTTTGTATTACATATTTTAATCAATACAATTCCATTGTAATTAAATAGAATCATGTTATTTTGCTTGTTATTTTTAAGTTTTTAAATTTGAAAAAGTTAATTAGTAATAATTGAGAATAACAAAGAAAAAATATAAAAAGAAATAATATACTTCATCAAGTACTATTAATCTAATTATTTTTTATTATGTCAATAAACTATAAATATTCTTATAAATAAAAAAATGATGACAGTAAAAAATATTACACATTTTTATTTTCTAAATTTATATATTTTATTATGATTTAAACGCATGATTATTAATTAGTTAAGTAATAACCAGATAAAAAAATTTTAAAAAAATTACAAATGCTAATTTTAAAAAATATCTTTTTTAAATTGTAAATTTAAAAAATAAAAAATTTCAATTAAAAAATCATTTGATATTTTTTAATAATAAACTTTTCAGGATTACCGCTTGGACTTTATCGGCTGGTCAAACCTATGGATCGGAGCTCCAGCTACAATATCGTAGAAACTCCAGGCTTCCACGTCTAGGAAGTTATTTGGGAGCTAGATAAAGCAGACATTGAGCACTTGGATCATCAGGAGGCTGGTTACAATACCTTTCAAGTCGATGACGTTACTCACAGCGGTGCCTAGTATAATTGTCGAGTTTATCAGCAGATCAAGGTTCCTAATGCTTATACTAAGCTCAGGGAACTTCGTAATCCCATGATACCCTCTCAGACTTACTTGTAGGTAAATTTTTAGTATTCTATTGATTTTTTATAAAAATCATTTAATTAGATAAATTTATTAGTTTATTTACTTAGGAAAATTATTATAAAGGGAGCATTAGATCGTGTACTGCCGATAGAATATATTAATATGCTCCGAAAAATAAGATATAATGGATTTATGGATTCTTACAGCGATATTGGGTACACATTTTTTTTATATTTTAATAAACTGTCAAGTATTGTGAAATTAATTGTTACAATTTTTTTTTAGCCAAGAAGTTGTTGGAATTTACCTGTCTTTAATACAATTTTTAAAAAATAATTTTCTAGACCTTGTTTATTTTTAAATAATAATAAAAAAAATTTTAAGTTTCTGCCCATTCCAATGATACTGAAATTTAGAGACATTTAATAAATTTTAATAAATAAATTACAGCAAGAAAAATTTGTTTCAAAAATTTCATTTTTAAAATGAATTTATAAAATTTTACAGCAGACGGTAAAAACAGTTCATTTTTAACATTGATTAAGGAGGTCCTTTCGCCGCCAATGTAAAATAAAAAATATTAGATTATGAGTAAATTCAATTTTTTCTAATGGTTAAGGTCCTTATTTATCTAATAGTGAGGTTTAAATTATACTTTACCGGACAAATTTTTGAAAAAATAAAATTTTTAAATGTTAGTATTTGTTCAGAGTCTTACGAGAAAGTCAGACGTTTGCAGTATTTCTCGAATTATACTATCAGTCATAGATTAGATGAAGTAAAAAAAAACTAAAAATTAGATTTTCGAAATATTCAGGTTTCTTTTTTTACAATAAAATATATCAGTTACCGAGATATTTATTGAGAAATTAATATTTAAAAATCACAAAAAATTCTCAAGCAACCTACGTTAAAATGGAGTCAAAACATTTGGCAACGGTGCGTAGCGCGCGAGCTTCAGACCATTCAACAAATTCAAACTAATTTATTTATTTACACACTGTTAAAAATTTTTGTAAAATTACAAATCAGTGTATAGCAATGCTAAATAAAATACAATTCATGTAATTTTCCAACACCCTGTCAGGAAATCTACTAAGATGTATTGTAATTTTACAATCTTCTTGTATAAACCTAACACGCATTGTAATATTACAGAACTGTTCGTCAATTTTCAAGAAAAAGCTTTTTAATTTTGCAAACATTATTTGTAATTTGATTCGGCATAATTGTATGTAAAATCATTAAAAAATATTGTAATTTATATTACAATAATCACATAAAAAATTTAAAAAGCTTTTTTTTATTTTTACAATTTTCATTGTAAAATTACACAGTGCAATGTAATGTTACCAGAAAATTTTATTTATATTACACGAATTGTAATTCTACTTCACATTTCTAATTTTAAAAATAATACTTTTCAATTTTACAAAAATGAGACTGATGTATAAAAAAACAACAATGTCCTTCATATTTATTTATACTAATTTTTAGTCTATGGTTGTTTATTTGTAATAATAAATTCGAGGCATAATTTATCTTTTATAAATTCTAATATTATGCTCAAACGATCATTTCGAAATCAATATATTTGAATGAGTATATGTTAAACTTTTTCATCAATAAACAGCATAAAATAACACAATTAATGTAAATTATAAATAAGCCCTAATGCTCAATCACCACATAGGATTAGCTTATAAGAATAATAAGATGTTGAATCACCTATCGGTCGTACGGCGTAGGGCGTTAGGTACCGGTCTGGCAAGCGCTCGGCTCGGGTTCGGTTCTTAGTTAGGGTATATATATTATTTTCACTTTAAATCAACTGAGTTGAACAAATTAGGTCTAC